CAGAACATTGTAATGCTTTTAAGAGTAGACTGATGGACTTCACTTGAAAGTTGTTTGTTTACTAGCCACAACTTAAATTCACCCCTGGCTTTTTTTTTCCCCAGTAAACTTTTTGACCAATTTGGCTAGATGGAAGTAACTGCATTTCATCTTCCTTACAGGCTGTGAACCTAGTCCACAGCATATTATGAAAAACACAAGTATTGTACTTGAGTTGCAGAAGGATTTATTTGAGACTTTCGCTATATAACGACAAATTGTACAACTGGAATTCACTATAAAAGAATATTTAATATATAAACAATTATCTTAATGTTGTATAAGTATGTGCTTAAAGCTGTAACTAATTCACCTACAAAGTTTCTGTAAATTAAGTTTCCTGCTTGCTATTGCTTTTCAAAGTTCCAGTGGTTGTGGGATTTATTTTGACACACCAGCAATAAGCAAACCTGATGTCCTTGTTTAACAGTCACTGCACATAGCAACATTAAAATGATACTAAACTAACATATTTAAGCACCAGCCTAAGTCTTTACCAGAATGGAGACATTCAGGATTCTGTGGCTGAAGGCACCTGGATGCCATATATAAACTTAAAAATTAATTGTAAATAAAAATAATAGCCAACAAAACTCTCCTCTGCCCGTAAGTACAAAAGTAATAAAAAGTAAAGTAATTAAATGAAGTTGAACTACCTTCCTGCACAGTATTTCTTTGCACTACATAAGCACTTAAATTCATCAAGGACAGTGTTTCTGCGTGGAAGCCAACATTTCTCTTTTGTATAGCAATTGCCAGGTAAGATGAGGTCATGCAATGTCAGAACACTGTGCATAATGGGATGAACCTATTAAACTGTCCAATCATATCCTAACACCCACCTAAATAAATTGTAATATAAATGATGGCATAGCAAAAGCAGCTTCCAAACAAAAGGAAAAGCTTAAAATAAACCATCACTGGTAAGTAATTTTCAAATGTATTTATGGGAATGAAGGGCAGGGAGGATTAATGATGACATTTGAAATGTGCAAAACCACAGAGAGAGCAGCAGGCAGGATCTGTAATAGTAGCTCAACTCTTTCTTGATACTTTACTCATGATCAGTGATAACAGAAAGCCTCTTGTCTACAAAGATAATCCTTAACTAATGTTGCTGGCATGCATTCCTACAGCATATGAAGTATGCAAATGTGCTATAATAACAGTTATAATTCAAATTTTGTTTATTAAATGTCTAGAACTATATATAAATAGCATCTGGAGATACATCATTGGATAAGAATGTAGTACTTCATCCAGAGCTCACTTAAGTCAAAGGACTGCAAAACAGTTAGTACCATGCCCTTAATAAGGTACTAAACAGATGTACATGAAACAAATAACAAATAAAGACTTAGACTGTTTTACATAATAGCAATAGAAATCCATCATTATGTACAATTCATCCAGAGGGAGAAGCAGAGGCTTATAATTCAATTGAAGCATAACATAGGTGGCTGCATTCAAATTCATAATCCAAAGTGTTAGTGCTTTCAACTGCTGCCCAACTATAGAGAGACTTGAACTCTGAAAGCATCTTGGGTGGAAACTTAAAACTTTGCATTTGCTTTGTGGTACTTCAAAGGGTGAATCCACTGTCACCCTTGGGCAGCCCCAACCTGTGCCTTCACCCATGGCTAGGCACATGCAGCCTAAATCTGGACTGATACACAATCCTACCCCAGCTGGGATCCAGTGAGTAGATGCTTCTCCTTAGCCTACAAGTGAGGCTCCATTGCCCACATGTTGCCATAGCATGCCTCATACAAGTCTGTTTATCCAGGTTCTGTACAAAAGGCAATGATGGCTTTTCCTCTGCATTTTTTGGAAGTGTGACTGTACAAAGAGCTAATGGTTAAACTGGTGTTCTTTTATAGATCATGTTTGCAGGATGTGAAAACCCCAGGCTGATTTCCCTCCTCAGTCTGAAGAAGTTAATGTGATGGTATGTTTAATAGTCTACTGCAAAGAAAAACTAGCCTGTGAAGGAAAAATGAATAGAGATTTACTGAATCAGAAAAGCAAAAATTATTAGTAAGTTTGGTGCTCAGGGCTTTCATCCGAATACAGGGATTCCAGTCCTTGAAATATATGGAAATGTTTATTTTTTATGGGCTGGAACTTATGCCCCCCTTCTGGTTCTCTTCTTGTGTTCACAAATGAAACTGGGGTTTTCCCCCTATGTAAGTAACGCTTTCATCAGGAAGCAGAGAGAAGGAATGCAGTTCAATCATCAGTCCTGAAGGCTGATGATTTCATGGAAGGCAGGCCGAACGCTCTCAGCCTTACTCAGGCTAAGTAAGAGACAAACTTACCTTCCCGTATTCTGGATAAACAGATGTAACAAGACACAGTGACCTTTTTGTTCTTCAAATAAAGCATTTAAATACCTATCTTCAGGAAAGTGTGGATGCTGAATCGTGAGAATAGAGGACTACATCTTTTAGACCTAATAGGTGCTAAAAACAGAAAGAGAAGGTGACTTTATGCACAGTCCCATCTTCTGCATATCCATATCACCTTATGCAGCTCATGAGCTATGGAACATTGAAATACCCTCCTACTGCAAGGACAGACCATATCGTACAGTTGCAGCTTTACCACATGACTATTCCGAAGCACTCTTTTATCCATGACAGCTGTTTTTTCCCTTGCTATCACCAGTCACACCAAAGTGTGTTCATATCTAAATGCTCTTTGTTTCACCTGGTTCAGCTTTAAACTTTTTCTTGTGCATTGTTTCTAAACCTCTTCACAAACAATTTGATTTCTGTCATAGCACTGTTTTAAGTCTCTATTACCAGCACTGAAATGAATGGTCACTCACATGTACACAGCTGAACATGGTGGAGTTTGCTCCAGATGCTTATTGTGACCTGTGTGTTTCTCCACTCTATCTCATTAGTCATATGTTGTTCTTACTATGACTGTTTTCATCTGTTGCTGAGCTGGTGGGAGACATCAGGCTAATACCTTCTAAAACCATTGACAGATGTTGTATTTTTATTACTTGGAAATTTTTAGGTAGATAAAATTATCACAAAATGTTTCAAAAGTTATACCAAAATTTACTTTCATTTTGAAGCACTCAGATATTATATTTTTACCATACCTTACTAAGTATTATAGGAGTTGGTGGGGTTAAACAGATGATTGGCTGTTCCTGAACAGCTTTTCAGGGTGTTTGCCAAATATAAACACTCCAGGTTTGTTTCATCTCCTATTAACTGTAAGGAAATATTTTATGCCTATTTGAATGAAAAAGTCTGCTAGGCAAAGAATTAAAACATATGAGCCAGAGATAATGGGAAAAATAATAGAGGGCCCTGTCAGCAAGTTCAAGCACAGTCTGATTTCTTTCCCAGATGTCAAAGAGGAGGAGGAAGAAAGGATTTGTATTTGTGATGCTCTAGCATTGACTTCTGTTATGGTTCAAGGATCTCCCAACCAGCAAGAAATAGTATTGTAGGATTCTTTTCTGTTTCATTACCACTTTCTGAAAGTCACCCAGTGAAGCAGCAAAAGATCTGGTAATGTATAAGCCTTGTCTGAAGTGCTGGAGCTGTCTGGGTGGGACTGCAGTTCACCATCTTCTAGAACATGACTAGAGTCATGTAATGCACAGGCAGCAGGGTCTGCAATGAGCAAAAGGACACGCTTGCCTCAGATACTGAGGCTGGGGCGTGATAACTAGAGTAAAAGCCTTGTCCTTAGCTGTGATGGTTTAAAAGCTAAGACAGACATGGTTTGCAGAGAGGTGGCATTCCCATTCCTAAGGAAGGTAAAGGATGTCACTAAAACCAAGAGGCATTCATACCTATTCCCACGTATGAAGAAGCAGCAACCATGAACTGAGTGCAGATTGGGAACAAGTGCTCTGAGGGAACTGCTGCTTCACACTTCATGTATCAACAATCAACAAGCAAGCAAAAGCCATGTAGATACAGCCACCACACACTTTGCAAGTAGGGACATGTTTACATACCAAAACGTGATTTTTCATAATCAGGGGCAACACTGTGCTTGTGTTTGACAGCTTACTTGACTGTTTCCCTCACAGAACAGCACACATGCAGCAGCAGAGCAAATTTCCCTGAGAAAGCTCTGATTCTACAAATATGCACAGGCTTAAAAGTAAGTACATCAGCAATCCTACTGCCAAGATGACTTGAAATTAATTGAGTGTAAAAGTGGTTTGCAGAATGCGAATGTGAGGTACCTTGATCATCTGGAAAGAGCGCTCACAGGGGAGTATTCAATTAAGTTTCCAGATCCTCTTTGGCAACTTACAGACCAACTGGTGCCAACTACAGTGATTTTATATAAATACATGTATGCATGTGTGGAAGAGGTGGGAGGAAGGTGTGAGGTGATTCAGAGAAGCTGAGCCTGTGGAAGGCTGCCCCACGGGCAAGACTGGGCCCAGACCGACGGGGACTTAACCACTTCAGGTTCTCGGTGCCGGGCTAGTTCCAGCTTCATGAGGAAACTTCCCCCTGAGAGCTGTTCCCGCCTTACCTTCCGCGCCCGCACCTTCAGCTAACCTCCTGGGCTCACCACGGCAAGGCGATAACGACACGTTTTCTGTGGGAGTTCGGGGTTGTGCACACAGGGCTGCGTCGCCGAAATGCTCCTTGAGAGGGACGAAACGGGCCGGGATAAGGGTCCTCAACTGCCTGCTGTCGCGATATGGGTACCCGCCTGTCGCCGGCCGCCCCTGTCGCGCGCCTGTCCCTCTCCACCCGGCCTGGCAGGGGACCAGCCGCCTGTTGCTATTTTCGCCCGCGCTGGCTGGGCGTGAGCGGAGAGGCGGCGACTGGCAGCCGCCGGGCGTGCGGCCCGACCTCCCCCGCCCGGACCGCCGGCAGGTAGGGGCGGGTCGCCCGCCGGCCCCGTCCCGACCGGGGCGGACAGCAACAGGAGACGGCGATCAGCCCCCTGGCCCGGTCGGGCCGCCCGCGCTGCCGGTGTGCTGAGGCGCTGGTGTGGCCTCCCCTCCCCGGCCCGTTGGCGGCTCTCTGTCCCTCGCCCCTCAGCAGGAGGTGGGCCGGCGGCGCCTGACAGCCTGCGGCTGCTGCCTGTCAAAGGCACTTCCTTGCAGCGAGCACATCCTGCGGCGGCCGGGCGGCGGTAAGCGGCTGCCGGTTCGCCCCAGCTCCAGCTCCAGGCCTGGCGGGGGGTGGCCGGGGCGGCAGTGGGGGACACCGTGCGCCTGCTGCGGGCCGGCCCGGGAAGCAGCGCTGGCGGGACCGAGCCGCGTTTGTGGAGGGGACGGTGAGGGGAGGGAGAGCGGCTTTTAGCTTTGAGGAAGTGAAGGAGTTGAGGCAAGAAGTGAGGCACCCCGCCAAGGGGCGGCTGCGGGCTGGCGGGGCCGGGCCGGGCCGGGCTCTGTACCCGGACTCTGAGGTGGCAGAAGGAGGTAGACCCGGCCGAGAGGAAACGGCTGAGAGGCGGGTGGAGGCCGGGGCCCTGCTCCGTGCAGGCGGCGAGGATAGCAAGGGCGGACGCCCTCCCTCCTTCCCTCTCCGACGGTCGTAACGGAGCCCCCGGTGAAGTCGCAGCCTAGGAACAGTACTTGCGTGGGGCAGGACGGGGCGGGCGGGAGTGGAGCCGGGACGGCGGGGAGCCGGTGCCGAGCTTCTCAGCTCACAGAGACCTGGGAGAGCGGGTCTCTCGTCGGAGTGACCGGAAGACCTGCTTGAATTTAATGTGCTGTTGACCTGATGAGCTACTGTCTGCTTTTAGTTCTTTTTCTCACTCTTGCCTGCATCTTCCTCTCCCATCAATGCACAGTCGCTTAATCTGAGTCCTCCCAGAACCTGCTCCTTATCAGAGCAACACAGCGACTCTTCCCATAGGGGTGAAACTAACCTCTCGTACAGCAGCAGCACGGTTGAGGTTAACCTTAAAATCCTCACACGCTGGCGCACTATTTTGGTGGCCCTTTAAATTCGCATACGAAATTAACGCAGGAATGACCTCTTGAAACTGTGCTCACGAGAGGTATGAAACAAATGTGGTTATTTATAGTGCAATTTGAAAAGACTGAGAGCTTCGAATCTGTGTTGTGTTTAAGAGAGCGTCTAATACAGCGGATCTGAACCTTTAGGAGTGCAGATGGTGGAATTTGTGTCTGCTGTTAAGCCCAGAGATTGAATGGAACATCCTGGGTAAAAATTAATAAATACATACGTCTCCCTAGCAGCAAATACCTCGGAGCCAATAACTGTGATTATGCTTTTAACACTTGTAAATGCCAAAATGGAAATTCATCACAGCTTGTTTTGTGTAAATGCTGGTGGTCATAGGTAATATGCACAAGTAGAAATGCTGAAGGTAAGAAAAATGACAAGCTGCAAGGAATGTGAAACATATTGAGTGGTACATGGATGACTCAACACTTTTTTTTCTTTATAATTTGGTTAACTGAAAAGTTGGATGCAAGTATTTGGCTGTGGATATGCAACTGAATAAAAAAAAGGTATGGCATTCAGAATGTTGTATACCTAACAAGCTTTCTTTTACAAAGACTTTCTTAGTGCATTGCAATGGTAGAACAGCCCAATATTGTGTCCAGGTCCATCTGAGGCTGACTCAGAAGACCTCAGTCATCAGTATATTAAGTTCTGTGGACTCTATTAGGGACATAGGTGTCAAGGGCAGGAACAATGAGCTATTTTCTTAACTTGATAGTTGATCATAAACTTGTATGTGATTCCTACCACAAAGCCAAATGGCTTGCTCAGAGTATGTGGTAGAACATTTTTCAGGACCGGGTCTGAAGTTGCTGAAGGTGTTGAAAAGAATCTGTCATAAGTCAGTATTTAATGCATGTATATGAAAAAAAAAAAAAAAAATTTAAAGGAATTTCTGAGGTGAATTGTTCTCTTGACTTGCACATGCTCTTGCACACAGCAAGCCATAGCTCCAGAAGGAAACAGCAGATAATAAGTAGCTATGAGATAAAAAGAACATCTTGCAACAGAAGGCTGTGTTGTGATACCAACAGTTTCAGTTAAATAAGAACTATTTGAAAATGGAGAGCAACCTGTGTTATGATACCTAAACTATCTATTTAACTGTAGAAAACAGGCCAAAAATGTTGCTTAAACCCCCCCCCCCCAAAAAAAAAAAAAGAGATAAAGCTTACAACTAGGTGCCCCATAGAACAATGTAATGAATGATGTTGTGACAGTAGGTAAGAGAGTCATTTCATACATATTGATGGAAACATAAACATAAAAGGACCACTTCTTAGCAGTGACATATCACGACATACCGAATACATATTCGCATTTGTGTTTTTTTAAATATGTCCTGCTAGGTGGATAGAGAAGTCTTTCAGCATGAGTGGAGACAATGTAAATCTTAGGGGTCAGAGAGAGAGGGAGAGAAGTGGTATTTAGCTCTGGCTTGCGTTCCAGAGCTCTGGCTGCAGGCCAGGGCTCCTCATAATCCTTAAATAGTATGATATTTCTGCTAAATAATCAGTGGTGAAGTGCAGGTGGTACCAGTGCCTCTGGTTCTGTTTGCAAGCAGGTTTCAGCACTAAAGTAGTGCATAGAAGAGCTGAACAAATTTGTGCTTTTTAAGACTAGCTGTTTTTCAGAAGACCTTGTTTGGAAGTTTTGCTTAGCTTCTTAGAGAAGAAAAATAAAAACTGTTTTACAGAAAAAACCTGCTGTCATGTTAGTAGTCTGAGGGAGTAAGTCTCAGTTGTCTCAGATGAGCTGCATCTTCCTCAGATGAACTGAGGAATCTGGGGCCTTTCTGTTCAACAGTTCATAGGTCAAGCTCATTTAATCATTGAAGTGTGGAAGCTCTGACTGCTTCCTTGCTTGACGCATCTTATAAACTCATCAGTTCTCCTGTGGATCCCAGCAGTCCAACTCCAGATGAATGATACCAAATCAGGAGGAGAGCTGGAGGAGAGTGAAGGATTGCTTAGCTCAATAGTTACCTACATTCTGAACAAGAGTCTGAACTTTTGGCTGCACATCTGTACTATATTTTGTCCAGAAGAAACAGCAGAAGGATGAAGGATAACTCTTCATCACTGATGTAGTTTCTACTTTTTTTTTTTTTCCCCTTTGTGTGTGTTCTTTTGGTTTAGATCTATCTCTCTCCCTTCTTTGCCTTTTTTCTGTATTTGTTTGAGTCTATCCCAAATCTACATGGTTTTCCCCCAGCTGCCAAAACCTGATTTCCAGTGCCTCACCCTCCCAGGTTAATAACACAGTCTGTTCTCTGTACCCCACAAGATTCTTCTTCCTAGCCTCAAAGCTGATCTGTCCCTATCTAGCTGAATGGCACCCAGAGCCTATATCTTGTCCTCAGTCCTTGCAACAGTCTTAAGCTGAGTTTTGAGGAGTGCCGTCCTGCATGATGCACAGCTTCTTAGACATGTACCTGGGAAGTACCTGGGGTTCAGAATGGCATAAGTACTGATTTTTGTATCTGTCCTGCCATCACCTTGACTTCTCTCTGAAGGCATTCCTTTCACTTTCTGGTGACATTAAAATATGAGAATAGAACTTAATTTGGGAGAACAAGAGCCTGATGAAAAACACAGTATCAGATTTTGCTACAGGACTGTCAGTGTAGTGTTGCATGCTTTCTAAGACTGCTCCCTGCTTATGGGAAGTGGCTGGGTTAATCACAGTGAAAAAGAAGCTGGGGACAAAGAGCACATGTATGTTCCTATGTATATCTTTCACATTAGTGAGTCAGTCTAGTGTCTCCTAGTATAGAAGGTGAGGTAAGATTTATTAGCATGCTTTGGGTAAATATCATATGTGCTACAGTTTGCCTGGCTGTTTTTATGCTGGTAGAGCAAATATAGATAAATTGAAGGAAACAAGTGGGAGGCTTTATTTTTGTTCTTTTTCTATTCTCTCTTGGATTAAAGGCAAAATAATCATTTGCTTTAAAGAAGCTGTGAATTAATCAGTGAGACACTTGGGAGCCTACTATACTAATATGGGTGGTAAAAGGGTACAGCACCTACAACCAAGTTTTAAAGCGGATAAACTGGGTGGTGGCAACCAGACATGGGTGAAGGTGCCAAAATTCCGAGTGGTGGAGTTGGGGGAGACGTGAATGGGTCAGAGCACAGACACTCTTCAGTCATAGTGTGTGCTTAATTTTATGGCTAGGAATAGGCCTGTTAAAATGTACAGAACTATTTTTAGGTCTGTATTAAGCATGTACATAAATACTTCATGGTCTGGAAGTAAAACCTAGGCCTTGGTATAAACTTAAAGGACATTAACGCTGACAACATGAAATTGGTGTAATTTCTGATGGCCTATGAATGTAAATTAAGATAAGAATGACAGGAGGAGTAAACAAGGAAAGAATGGCTGGAAAAGGCAGAAGAAACATGCAGAACAGTAGCGTACAGAACAATATGGGTTAGATAATGAGACCTTCTGATACTGCTAAATTAGTGCCCTGAGAAATTGCACTTTTAGCCTCTCTTAATGTTAGGAAAAAAACCAAAACCCTAGCATTCTGACTTCTAATTAATTGCTTTGATTTAGTATAAACTGCTTTTCTTTAGAAATAACAAATACAGACATAGGAGTATTTATGCTGTTGACTTTGCAAGGTGTTTATTTTGTTTGAGAGGTGAACGCCAAGAAGTTTCGCATTTGTATTACATTCCAGCAGTACAGTGTTTGTTTAAGTATGACAGAGTATCAAACTTTTTTTCTTAAATCCTGTTCAGTACTTAGAGTCAGCACGCAAAGTAATACATTGTGATATTTATTCATATTTGAGGCTGCAGTGCCTTGCAGGTCTGGACTAAAAGAGCATGGTAGATGGTGGTAATCCAAATGAAACTTCTCTTCCTTGAAAAGTTGATTTAAATGAGGATGACTCTGTTGTATTTTTACTTGTGTTTTATTTAATGGCATTTTTTATAAAAGAGTTCTGAGAAATATGGTTACAAAAGGTATGTGGCTAATAGGTTATCACCCGTGCAGGGGCTCACTTCTCCTATTTTTAGCTAAGAATGAAGGGGTTTTATGTTTTCTTACCCTGAACTTATTATATATGCCACTAAATACTAAGAACACTAAAAGCTACAAACCTTGTGTTAACACCATTGTACTTAAGAATGATCCTGATCTTCCCTGCAGTTGCAGAGCTATTTGTCATTGTTACAGTTAAGAAGAAAATAATTTGTAAAATTTTGTCAAAGAAGAAGAGACCACTTTGATTCCTGACAGACGCAAAACTATAATGACAATTGTGTTTAGCAGTCTATGCTGATCAGGTATAAAAAATGTTTTGTGAAGCTGCTGTCCCATAGGTTTCGATGCATTTATATTCATCTTAAAGATGGTTGTTTTCTTGCTTGCTTGTGAAACAAAAAAGAGTTGTTGCATAATTGAAATGAGGCTTCCAAATTCTGGATTTTCATTTCCTTTTTCCCCCACACCTCCCTCATCTCTCTCTCCTCTTCCCCTCCAGGTTTATAAAAAGGTTTCTGAAGAAATTGTTCTACACATCTAGAAAGCTACTTATAATAATTTCTTCAAATAGTGTCTTTAAAACCTGCATTATTGTATTCTTTTGCTAAATTTGTCAGCCTTGGGACTGGTAATGTTGCCACAGAGTTCATTTGTCAAAAGATGCAGAAGTTCCAAACCAGTAAATGTACCCAACCCTGGGGTTTCTGCATTTCCCTTGCTTTTACAGTTTGCCATTTACTATAGAAACATTTTTCCCCATGTGGACATTTGTAAATTGGTTGTATTTTAAAACCTTGTTTAGTTCAAAATGAATTTCCATCTTAAATTTCCTTTCATTTTCAACAAGGTGAAACACTGTTAGAAACTCAGCTTGAGAATATTTTATAAGGATAAATAAAGGACACAGTTTGATGAAAACTCATGAGAAAAATACTGCTATTTTTGATCATGCTTGTAGGTGAACTAAGACAAGAAATATTGTTGCCACAGTAAACAGATGCCATTTATTAAATACTTGTTCAAATATAATTGAAAGTGTTTTGTAAAGAGTTCTTTGGACTGCTCATGTTGTTTAATAGGTCTTTTCATGGGAAATTCTCAGAAGGCTGAGGGTAAACTAGTGTCATGGTATTTAAGCACAGGCAATTACAGGCCTGTCAGCTTCTCATCAGTCTCACACAAAAATAATGTAACAGCTTAAAGCCAGGTTCAGTTAATGAGGACTTAAAACACGGTAGTATAACACATGCCAATCTATGTTTTCATAGACCATATTTTGCTAAACAAAATTGACAGATAAATGTAGTTATTAGATTTGTTACTAAACCAACTAATATGTAGTAACAACAGTGGTGGTACTATATGTTGGGTATAACAGGGTTATAACAGGGTTGTATGTAACTTGGTTCCATTTGATACTTTACAAAATGAAAATGATACAATATCAATGTGACACGCATTAAGTATTCCTGGCTGTCTGACAGGCCTCAAAACGTAATCATGAGTTGTGAATCGTCATGTTTTTTAGTGGGATGCTATAAGGATTGAGGCTTATCTCTGCTGTCTGGTAGCTTTATCAGCAGTCAGTCAGTTGACTGCTACTCGTTTTTCCAGATGAAGATTTCTGGGGTGTTATTTAATGAAAAAGTCTGTTTGGTAACAGCCCAGATCACTTGGCAAACTACCCAAGGAAACAACCACATGTTAGTAACCAAAGTAAAAGTTGTCTACCTATGAACAAGGAGGATGACCTTCCTCCCTCCCCAAATGGGAATGTGTCTTAGCAAGCACTGACTGCAACTGTCCTGAAGGTCAGAAAAGCTCAGCTGAGTTTTTTCTGTGATAATAGGATTGAAACAGGCCACTGTGATCCATGTACCTCTGCCCTGAGACAAACACGAGCTAGAAAGAATGTGTGGTTTTGAGTCTGATTACTTACTAGATGGTTTAGCAAGAGTTGAAAAGCAACTTTTAAATTAGAACTGACTTTTTTTTTTTTTAAAGCAATGAATTTATTGCTATTATGTTTGTTGGACCTGAAATGATAAGGTCCAAGGTAGGGGAAATGTGCTGAATAGGTCATTGTAGAAGATCAGTATGTCTCTTCTGATGTTATCAAATATTTGTGTTACTAACAGTTCATTTTTAATAGGGTTCCACTACCTACATAACTATTTCTTTTCCTTACAGAAATCTTCTGTTCCTTAATCAAAGAACCATACAGAAGTCATTCCATGGAACTGAAATATTGATGAATTAGTCCAGGTTCCGTAAAGGACTGTAAAATGGAGCCAATTACATTCAAAGTTAAGAAGCACCAAATATCAAATGATTTCTCAGCAAGTTTCAGTCTCCAGCTTGTTGGTTCTCTGCCAGTGCATTCCCTAACCACCATGTCAATGCTGCCTTGGATTGTGGCAGAGATCCGGATGCTCAGTGCAAAGGCTTCCAAAGAAGAACCTAGCATCAGCCAAATCCGACTGTATGTTTCACCAGAGAGTTTACGATGTGAACCAGACACTGGGAAAAACCAGCAGTGGGACCCTTTGAATTATTCAGGTTTGTTTGAACACAAGCCGCAGCATGTCCACAAACTGATACACAACAGCCACGATCCAAGCTACTTTGCTTGTCTGATAAAGGATGGAGCAGCAAATCATCAAAGTATCTGCTATGTATTTAAAGCTGATGATCAGACAAAAGTAAGTAAAAAGAAAGAAAAACCACCAGAGCAAGCAGCCCTGGAGCTGCCTTTGTGCTGTTTGAAACTTTTCACTACAATGTAAGATCTTAAGCTTGTATTTACAATTAGAGGTTGGATCTCACTAAAACATACTGACAAATGTCATTTTACTTGATATTAATGGTTCCATTGAGTTTGAACTGTACAATATGTGAAGTGAAAGGTGTATAAATCTTCCACAGAATCAGAGCCTGAATTTCACCAGCTTAAAAAACACTCACATTTGGGATATGGGCTGAAATCTTGTCCCTCAAGTCAGTGAGAGTTTTTCTGTTGATGTCACTACATCTAGGATTTCACCCTTGAGTCACTGTGAACTTTATCTAATCCTACGGTCGGACCTCTCAAATTTCTCTTTTCCTGAGTTGAGACGTACGTGACTGGGAAATAGAGATAGCTCCTTTCTCAGAAGGAGGAGTGGGTAGTGGGGAGCCTTGGTATGCAGGATACCTCCAACCACAGGACACTGTGGAAGCCTCTTCCTAGATCTGTAATGCAGAGCTTCGTGGGAGGTGTTGGAGGATGAGAGAGAGACCGACCATACTGCAGTGCTGTGACTGTGACATGCAGGCTTGCTGCTGCATGGTGTGAAATGGGAGTTTGGTGTGCATGTCGCATGCTGTGGGTGAGATTTGGCTCACTCTGCATTTCTTAGGAACAAGTTGTGTCCTTGCTGAAAAGGTGGAAGCATTAAAAATAGTCTCTTCTTTTGTTTGAGGCCACTGTGAGACAGTAACTCTCATAACGCGAGTAGAATTTGGCAAAAAGCTGCTGTGACCTATTGGGGACAAACCAGTGACATATCCTTCACTTCTTGAGTGGAGACTGTAGTTATAATGTTGGAAAACAGTCTATTACTACATGCTGCTTGCTTTACTCATAGGAGGTGTCCTGCTGAAGCACTGTGGAGGTATTATGTGTATATACGCCACACATGGGATTTATGCCAACCTGAGCAATCGAAAAACATTGCATGGTCCCAAATCTGCGGTCTTGAGCTTAGAGCTCAAAACATATGAAAACAGGTTTAGTTAAATCCACCCCAATTAAAAAGTCAGTTCAGGTAAATTAGAAGGCAAATATGTTGTAAATCATAAGCATTCAAGTGAGAAATCCTGTCAAGTTAATACCAAATTTGTATATGTAAGGGAGCAGAAATAAGGAATAGATGTTTCAGAACTTGGCATTGAATAAATACATTGGTAAATGCATTTTGCAGTTTTCTCATGCACTTATTTTTGCTCGTGATTTTACAGGATTATAGTGAGTACACAGCACTGATCATCCCTGGTACATTTTCTTTTGCAACAAAGGATTGAAGTACTTTTTCCTAGACATGTTTGAAATCAGAACAAAATAAGTCTCCTGTTAAATTTACAGCTGTGTCTACATCTTTTTAGAGAAAACACCCAGAATTTTTGGGTGCCTATTTTGACCACTTGGTCCCAGATTTGCACAGCTCTGTGTTCTTTCAAAAACTACCCTCCACCTGGGCTCTAAACTTGCCTTGATTGCAAGGGTTGTTTCTCCTGACTTTTTTGCAGGCTAGTTTCCTCATTAGGAGGTAGACATCTAATTGGCATTTGTGTTTTAACAAAATGATAATGGGCATGTCAAATGTTCTTCTCATCTTCTAAAGTGAAGCCCTTCCAGTTTTACTTAAATTCAGTGCGATTTCTGATTAATCTTACCTTTAAGTAAATCACTTATGCTTTATAGGGTGCTGTTACTTTGCCCTGAGTTGTTGTTGTGCAATGCCTTTTAGCTAATCGGTACTTCTATATTTATCAAGAGGGATGAAATGATGTTACCTGTTTTGCAGATACCCGATTTGCAAGCATAGGAGTGCACTGTATACCTTTGTTACAAACTGAGCTGTTTGTTAAAAGTGAATGAGTTAGGATGAAGAACTTAACACTATGTTGCTGCAGCTTATGTTTAGTTTCAGAAGAAATAAATTTTAGAAATTGCAGCTTTGCAACTGACGTGACACAGCAGACTTCCATGAACTCTTTACCCAGTAGCCTTAGACATCCAATCTTATGTGATAATTGCACTTGTTCTCAGGTTAGGGCAGGTCTGACTCAGAATTTGAAGTGAAAAATACTTTGTGGCTTTACAAATTCTGAATATATTCCTATCTTAGGGTAAATAGAATAAAAGAGGACAGAGGGGTGTCTGTTGGAGGAGTGGGAAGATAGTATGTTAAGACAAAAGTAGGTGAGTAGAAGACTAAACAGCAAAGGCCTTTGAAGAGGAGTGCGAGAAACTTGAAGCTCCTTCAGACAGACGAATAGCACTGGAGGTGGTAGAAAGTACAGAAAACCAGGATTGCTTGGGCTTTTAGCATCAGCATTGCAGATAGACAGGAGTTCATTAACTGTAGTCCATTACCTGTGGTTGTATTGAGAACATACTGAGTGAGAACATATACTTGATTAATGAGGGATTATCTTACTGTTTAATATGAAAGCATTTTGTTAATGGGAAATGATCTTTTTCTGGGTAATATTTAGCTCAAAATTGATGGGGTGTAGGAACATGTAATGTTTTTTTCTGGATATGAATACAGGACTGTTAGGTTCATTGTTGCTCCATTACCAGCATGTTCACTTTAGAAAAGAAATCAGTAGACAGGTAATTAACACTAAATAATGTCAGGATTCTTTACAAGGAATTCTTTGTTCTATTCCTCCTCAGAAATGAAAGAAAAGGCAGAGTGCCACTGTGGTCTTTGTCTTCATCGTGTAGGATCCTGTATGATTATTTCCATTACTTCATGTCAGTATACAGCTCACTTTCCCTGCTGGTGCAGCAGTAAATAGGAGAGGACGTAAGAAGTTTCCTGTCAGACTGCTCCTTGGCACATTACTTGAAAACAAGCACATGGATATAGAGATCATTCCACTCCACCTAGTACTAGAAGGATGGTTTTACACTGCATAGGGAGAGCTTTTATGGGTTAAAGTTACCTTTCTAAGCATATCTGTTGGATATGGGATATGGAGCTTTCCTTCTTTCTCTATGCATAACTTCAGTAAGTTTCCAGTAGTTACAGATAGGGGATGTTTTATCCCTTCACCCTCGTTCTGTGGAAGTTCTGATGACTGAGTAATTTCTGCCTGAGGGTGGGGCTGAAGCATTAATGCATATTCTTTGTAGGTGCTCAGGAATGGAGCTGAATTCAATTATATTGCCTGCAGGGAGTTTATGAAGGCTATTGACAGGTCATTGATTCCGATGATGCATACTGTGTTGAGTAATGGTGGTGGAAGCTGAGGAAGCTCTCCTGTAAATCTCTGCTTGCAGAACAGTACCTTCATCATCAAGCACATCTTTGTTGAACAGGTTGACCACAGTGCTTGGGTACTGTAGGGAACATGATGGCATAAATGAAAACATACATGCTACCAGACCACGTATCTTTGCTTATGCTCTACAGAAATGTCAGATGGTATTGACATCATGATTGTTGAAAAATAAATAGGTTAAAACTTATTTTTGGCCTACACTTGAGATGTGGTATATTGAAAGTGTTTGGAACTGTAGGTGAGGTATGCTGTTTCCTACATGAGCTCATTCTCCACAATCACAGCACGGTTTTTCTGTAGGACACCTTGCTTTAGTGCATCATTCACTCAAAGAAGTGAAAAAGATAATAAGAAGCTAATGGCATACTGTCCTGGGATATCCCTCTCCACTAAACACAAAGTAACCAAAACATTACAGAAGAAGAGTAATTCCTGCTCTTAGATTCAGTTTGGAGAAGTAATTCCACATGCCATTATGTTGGTCTTTATTTGGTGTATCAAATTATTTTACTTAGGTATGTTTAACCTAATTTGATGGATGTTTTGGCTGGGAAATGGAATACTGGTCACTAGTTTACCTGATCAGGCCCTGGGCTAGTTTAGATTTAAGGGAAGTTAAGGTTGCACTGTCCTTTATTATATATTTTTATTTGTTGTAAGTAAAGAATAACAATGCTAAACTTAATGGTTTCACAGAAGTCTGAGTCAAAGAGGGCATTCAGTACCTCAGCCTTTTCCATGTCCTGTACTTCATTGAGAAGCAGGCTCACATTTTCCATGGTTTTCTTTTTTGTCATCTATGTAGCAACAGACGCCCCTTTTGTTACCTTTTACATCCCTTGCCAGATTCAACTCCAGGTCGGCTTTGGCTTTCCTAACCATGTCTCTAAGACAGTGTCTATATGTTTCTCTCAGGTTACAGGTATTCTCCTGTTTTATGTTTGAGATTTTCCAGGAGTTTCTTGTTAATCCATGCAGGCTTTTTTTTTTTTCCCTTGGTCATTTGAATGGACTGCTCTTGAACTTGAGGCTGAGTAACAACCAGCATTCTTGGACCGTCTTCTCTCCTGGGCCATTATTCCATGGTACTTTTTCAAGTAGATCCCTGAAGAGTTGATCCCAAAATCTGCTCTTCTGAAATCCAGGGTTATGATCATGCTTTTTGCCTTGCTTCTCAGAATCCTGAGCTCCACCATCTTAGGGTCACTGCAGCCAAGGCTGCCTTTGACCTTCATATCCCCATCAAGCCCCTCCTTGTTGGTAAGTATGAGGTCTGGCAGAGCACCTCTTCTCATCACCTCCTCTGTCACTTGGATCAGCAAGGTGTCATCAGTGTCTTTCAGAAATTTGCTGGGTTGACTATGCCCTGCTGTATTGTTCCTCCAGCAGATACTTGGATGGTTGAAGTCCCTCATCATGACCAGGGTTTGCAGATGTGAGTACTATACTGAAAGTACTACACTAGAAGTACTAGCTTTCTTCATTCACATCTTCTCCCTGGTCACAGGGTAAAATAAATCCCTTTGTGCAAGGTAAAAGTTAGCAGACAGTGCTGTCACCTTTTTTTAGTGAAGCAGGTGCTAAGAATGTTTGAAAGTTTCTCCTTTTTTCTTTATGTGATATGAACTGGAAGGCTAGAGGATTTGAG